TGAGTAGAGACAGTGGGGACTACAAGTGATATGTACGGGTAGAGACAGTGGGCACTACAAGTGATATGTATGAGTAGAGACAGCGGGGACTACAACGACCAAGGCTAAAGTAGAATAGAAATTCAAATGAGGGTAAATTAGTAAATAAACAAACAAAAATATAATAATAACGTCATCAGAATATCTTAGGGTAAATATGCATCTTTAAACTGGAATACCAGCAAAATTCATATTTTTTTTTTCTAGACAAACAGATTATGAAAATTAATATGGGAAATACTGCAATACATTTTGGCAAAACACTGACGATAAAGTGCACAATACCATTTATTTTTCAATATAAGAAATAGACAGCGGGAGGTACAAGTTTTTCTGTGTTTTTTGGTATATTTTAAACAGTCTATTCAAATTCTTACTACTGACTAAATGATTCAACCACTCAAAAAATAACATCTTAATGTTACTTCTAGCAATTCAGCTAGCTTAAAAAATAATCAGAAATTCTTTCTAATCAGAAATAAAAGAATTACTGTAATCACAATTTTTTGGGGGCGATAGGATTATCGTTCAATGGTTGATTCGAAATGGAAAATGTAATAGGAAATTTTTTTTTGTTTTCCTTATTAAAAACATTCAATAAAACTGAAAATCTAAAACAAAATGGAGCTACATGCAACTAACAAGCTCTCTCTGTGGTCGTTTCAATCCAGGTTTGAAAGGACATACTACTTCAATTTGATATCAACCCTTTAATCTTTAAACACCAAAGTCTAATTTTGTAATCAAATCAACACTGAAATACCAGCAAAAATTTTTTTTTTTTAATCTAGCAATGTAGACTATGAAAAATAATATTCAAATATGCCAAAATTGACATAGAAATGATAGAAAATACATTTTGGCAGAAAAACGCTGATGATAAAGTGCACAATACCATTTATTTTTCAACATTTGGAAAAAAGATTTTTATATCAACAGTTTTTAAAGTATAAAGAAGAATCGCATATAACAGTGACTGTT